CAAGACGAATTATCTGACCAGGGGGCGAGAGCTGGTGATGGATTTTCCCTTCTCATTTGCTCTGGCTTCTTTTCCCCTTCTTCGTCTCCTTCAAAGTTGAGTCGCGGGATAAATTATCTCATCCGAAACCCTGCTGCCTATCGTGTTCATCGTTACGGCCCAAACCACAGTTCTCCTAATGGTAATCTTACCTTCCATTATTGAACCACTCCAAGACCTCGAGCGCAACGGCGGTGACTTGTGCTAACCGCTCTGTCAAAAACCCACCAAAGGAGCCGCGACCCGGAAGAGGTCCGACAATAAGGCAATTTGTGCTCTTACTGCTCCATCACTAAAGCAATTTCGATCCCGCTTTAACAAACTCTCCTCTGCCCAAAATTGCCCTCCGTCACAAACGGAGAACCCTTTCGGCTCCACTTAAATACGTTATTTTCGCATGAAATCAGCGACATGCTCTTCCATAACTAACACTCGCTTTGACTCGTGCAAGCACCACCCAGTGAGATGATATCATACCAGACAGGGATTCTTTTCCAGGTTGTCCTAAATCAGCCGTTCACTAACCTTGCAATGGGTACTTATAACCCTTTGGTCTTCCTGCCGGAACTTGACCCAGCTTGACCCAACTCTCGTTGAGGAGGTTTCTGGCGCAGCCTCTCCCGTTGTCCTCCCACCGTGCAAGCCGGATGCTGCGTTTGCAGCCCCCTCCGGCGCAATCTGGAGAATGCCTACCTCCGAGGGTAAATTCTCAGAAAATCCTGGATATCACAGGGGGGGCGTAACAGGGATCGCGATCTCAAAAAAATGGGAATCAAATGTGAAGCTCAGAGATTGCGAGTCCCGAATCCCCTGACACCAAAACCCAACCTACAGTATTATTCTAGATCACCCATTGCGCCGGATAGATTCTCTGGGTTCTGGCCATCTGGGATAGCGGGGCGGGAGTGTGATGCCAGTTTTAGCTCCCAACCTCCCAGAATCACCAGAATATTTTGACGCCCAAACAAGAGAAAACAGGGTCGGGAACCGAGATGATCGAATCGGGCTTAGCCGCGGAGGGCGCGCGGGAAGGGAGGGGCTAGAAAACAAGAGAATGAGGCAAAGCCGTCACGAAAGACGTGTTGACCACGGGAACGAACAGATTCCAACACAAGGTAGACAGGGCAACCATCAGGCTGGGTTCAATTATAGTGTTTTCCTAGAGGTAAAAAATTCAAACCGACCCGGAACTACCGGTATTATCTAGCAGTGCTCGAGCATGCGACCATACACTCTCAATATCCGCCAAAGCCGTATATCGACAAACATCGGTCTACCAGGTACAATATTGCAAGCCACTGTGACGTAAGAGAAAAGAAATTATCAGGCAACCCCCACAATACGGTACCTGCCCTGGCGAGTGTCCGCCCAGTCACCTTCCTTTACCGTACTTGTCCAAAGTGCAGGGTCCACCGTACCACCTGCCCTCCCCTTGGATCGGTTACTCTTACCTCCGATCCAGTTTTTACGAAAAGAAAAGATAGGGTAAGTGATAGTTCAGATGTCCTCTCCATGTTTATGCTACACTACGGTATGCTCGCCCGTAAAACCCCAAGGCCATTCTATCATACCGGTGTGGTACTCGAGTAGAAAGTTCATGAAGTATCCTGATGCCTTGGCGCCGAGATGTCCTAACCCTCAACTAGATACAGTATGCGAGGGCGCCAAGCTATCCAAATACGGATACTTTTGAATACAAGTAAGATATCCCGTGACAATTTTTATGGACATCTGGTGAACTTCTTGATCAGCAGGGGCTAATCTCCGCCCTCACCCACCCAACTACGCCGCACCCCTGATTCTCCCTCTCGAAAGGACAGGGAACCTTGGCTGGGCAAAACAATACTCGAGTACCGTACTGACCGAACTGAACCAAGAATAGTATCGGTATCCAACCCACCGTTCTCGAGCCCTCCGAGCGCCGGTACGGTAGTCGCCTGTCAAGATGCATACTGGTACCAAGCAGCCAAGAGCCCAAGACGCTAGAGATGTTTTCTTGGCTGAACCATCTTTTGACTTCATGGCAACATTTCATGTGAATGTACTTGTACGGTAAGTTGCGTTGAAGTGTTATATAGTCTGCGAGTACTGGTAGACCATGGCACTCTGGGTTTTAGTTGCTTGACGAAGGGAGACAGAGGGGGAAGGGGGGTCGGGTCGGTGGGGATGCACTGGTCGGTATTGGAAATTAGTTTTCACTGGTGTAGGCGTATCTGGTGTATCTTACCGAAGCATATCTGCGGGCGGTTTCGCTAAGTTAGCGGAAGATTCCGGGCCTACCGGTATCTCTTCGTGCTTGCCGTACGATACAGTGGGACAGGCGCTCCGGGAGATGTTTCGAAAGAAGCTTGCTCGAGTGCCGTACCGGTAGGATATGTGCTTTGCATATTTGTCAAATGTATTACTATGCTTCATCGCTGAAATCTGGATCGCTCTACAGTACTCTAGTAGTGCTCCTACATTTAAGGTCATTCTTTCAACTTCTTGCTGGGATATCATCCCCGGAGAAAAACGAGGGAATTATCTTGGCAGCACCCCAGGGCTCTCTTTCCCCCCGCCTTCCTCTCTTCCCCCTCCGCGGACACCACAACCTCGCGCTGTGGAGTAGAGACTCTCTGAAAGGTGTTGTGATGCACTACTATACTCTCGCCCGGGTAAATACCGTACCCCTCACCTCAGGCCGCAGACGAGGAGCAACCCTTCAGTGATATCCCAATCACACCCTCCTGTGCAGATTCCAGTAACTTACCATAACTTACCAGAACATCAAAGCCTAAATACCCTGCACACGCCTTGCCAAGGATAAGGCCGGCTGCCGGACACCGAGGGGGAGGATGCGGCTCAGTCTTACGTATCATACCTACCACTCTCCTTGGCGGGGGGGCACAAGTGCCATCCTGTGCCACGGAATGACGGCGCCTACCACCGAATGGAGTATGCCGGCATAAACCTACTGCATTGCGGAAATGATTCCGAGACAGATCTGGGGAACACTGGTACTCGAGTTCTTTCGGTTTGTCTCGGAATCTGCCAGCAGAGGAGTACCGTACTTTAGCACTGAATTCGTTTTATCCCTGGAAGCAGGAGTTTTTATACCCCTCCCGGGAAAGGAGCGCAATGAAAGCACCCTGCGACGGTGCTGAAGAAACAAGCTTGCACCCCGCAACACCGGACGACTAAGGGAGAATTTTTTTTTGGAACGGTGAGTTATCCAAGGTACCGGGACGTGCCCCAACTATAGGGAGGTTCAGAATCCGCAGAGGCTCACACGAGAGGGTGAGGTACCGGTGTGGAAGTGTCTCGGTTGGCTTCTGGGATTGGATGATGTGTGGGACCGAGCTAGCGCCTAGGGAGTGTACTAGTGCATATCATAGGATAAGCTGTAGGTAATTGACAGGAAACGGTGACAGTATAACATGGCAACAAACGTAGAGGGAAAAGGGAGGAAACAGAAACTAATATACACGGAAAGGAATCATCGCCCAATTGCTTGTCGATATGTCGTGTTTGCCTCCCCCTATGGGCGGTCAGTAAGCTGTGGGCGTCTCTCTTTCCTCTTTTCCAGAACAGGAAGGGAAAGAGCCTAAATTTTATCTATACATAGAAAATACCGAGTGCCAAGACACTTATAAAATGCAACCACAGCCCAGTAAGCCCATCCTCCCACACCGGTACTCAGATTACTAAGACCCGGGAATGCGGGGTTGGCTGCACTTGAATTCTGAACAGAAACCCAAAAAGAATTTGTGTGCATTCAGGAAAGTAATACACTCCCTGTTTTTGGGTACAAGTACCGTACTTCTCTGTCTGGGAGGGACATCAAGTGCCGAACCTACTTGTACCCACAGATCTCCAAGATACACTTTTCTGTTGTCTTAAATTTGATCTGTCCTTACTCTGACTACCGTATCAATTACCTGTACAGGCACACTCCCCCGGGGCACAGTACCGTAGAACCCAAGTTAAAAGCACAAAGTAACATCGAACCAATCCCTACCGTATACCTCTCCCCAAAACTTGGTATCCCAAGCAGCAATCCACCACCACCACCACCAACCGCCGCCACAGAACTACCGGTACAGTACAGCCCCTCCCGCGGGTACGCCTTTACCAATAAACATATCCGCCCACATCAGCCCGCATACAGCCTCGTGTTCCCCCACACTCCCGTATTCCCCCGAGCAGATTCGTAGAAACCCATCCACCAGGCTCACCCATGCACGGATGACTCTCTCGTTAGACTAAAACGTCCCCACACCACCGTAGCACAAGAGCGATAGTTTAATCGTTAAAGGATATCGCTGTGCTGAACCCTCCGAAAACCTTGATTTGTCTTCCGAGACGCTCGCCCCAGTGAACAACCTACCGTACCGTACTGCACTGACCGCTGTTGAGTAAACGAGAATCCGCTTGGTACTGTACATTCCGAGAGCGCGGCACAGCACAGTACGGGTGGACAGTACAGCGATAGGAAAAGAGAATCATCCTCTCGAGGCGAATGGAGACGGAGGGGGCTCCGTTGACGCGCAACGTTCAATGAAGATTCACCTTCACCCGGGTAAGTATTTCTCAATCTTATCTTTAGGAAATTCGGAATGTGGTAGTTTTTTTTATTTTTTTATTTTTTATTTTTTGGTCACGCGGTGTGGTACTACTGTAGTACATACCAGTACTAGTATTAGAAGTGGTGGGAGGGGAGTTTATCGACCGTTAAATTAATCCGTAGTCTGGGCGCAGGTTCGGTGGGACGATATCGGGTTGCCTGCGTTCAAGTCGAGTAAGTCATGGCGCAATGGGCTTTAGATACCGGTACAGCACTGGTGTGCATTGTTTCCATTTTTCCCTTTTTTTTTTGTTGTTGGTCGGAACCATAAGTTAATTTGCGCCCCGCGAGTTATGATACCTGGTACTTGAAGCCGCTCTCGCTCGCGCGCCGGTAGGAATGTCACGAGTACCACGATAGGCATGGGTCCTCAATACGTGGGATTGGACTAATGCGTGGGCTACAATGATGTGTAATCTGTGCGTACCTGAGTGACTATTCCGGATTCGATGTTTAACACACGTTTCTGGTCACTTCTTTCTATGATGCTTGCTACCTGGAGATAGACTGGTTAACTGGGGTCAGGGTTTGGGACATATTAATGGATGGGCCTGCAGGGACGTTTGCCTTTTGTGGTTAATCCGGTTTGATTCTCGAGTCCTAGTTTTTGGTAGAATTTGAGGATGGGGTAATGAGCGAATGGAAGTTTGCAAGTGGGAGACGGGCTAAAGAAGAGGAAGGAAAAGGAAAAGAGGGGGGAGAAAGCAAGGGAAAATTAAAAAGTTACAACAATTTATTCGCGCCGCCACGGCCGGTACACAATGACTCTATTAGTTACATATTACCCAATACCCCCCCCACCCGGCATATCTATAATTCTTCTCTCCTCCAGCTCCGAGACAAACAGATGCGACAGTTCTATGAGGTTTTCCCGAGCGCGAGGAGGTTCTCCTTAGGTGGGCTGCTGTAGTCGTTTTGTGTGATGCGCGAGTTGAACTTCATGATCTTCTTCATCTTGTTGAACTGTTTGACGGTGACAGCGAGGGGTTCCTCAACAACGTACCAGGAGACCCCCTCAGAGCAAGGGGGGGTGGTCAGAGATCCCGGGTAACTACGGATGTGAGAGTTGTCGACAATGTTGTTGATGGAGCTGTTCGCTCGGCATTAGCTTCTTTCCCTCATGGAGCTTGCATTTTTGGGGGTGCTAACTGCATCTGGACTTCGAAAGAATCTCCGTGCTTCTCCTGCTCCCCCCTCCTGCTGTGCTTAGGCTTCTGGAGACCGTCAAGCTTTGGGTAGATCGACTGGAGGAGCGCATCCCCAGAACCGGTATCCACCAAGTCGAAAAAGATACCAACGACAGCGAGCTTATTCTCATCTGTAACCCTAAATCAGCCATTACTCCGGGTGAAGGGTTTAGAGAGAAAAACAGAGCATACCGTCAAGCTTGGTGTGCACGAAGTGGACCTCCAGGGGGAAACTCTCGTGGCGTAGACGATGTTCGCTGGAGAGATGGAAATGAAATTGACTCAATTTATAGACCTCGCCTCCGAGTATGGACTTGTAGCCATCTGGCTTCAGAGGGGTGACCACAATGCTGTGGCCGTCATCCTCAATAGAAAACTCCCCAGAGAACGGGAAAGTAGTTGTGGTATTCACTGCAAGAGGAACTTCGTCGGTGATGTCGATCGGTGACTGTTGCTTTCCAGTCGCACATTTCTCGTATGGAAAGCTCTTGCCGTCAGCAGTCAGGCTGTGCCAGAGGAGAGGGCCAGTTTCGCCGGAATAAGTGTAGGGCGGCAGAGTCGGATCCTCACGCTTGTAAAGACAAGCGGAAACGATGGTGGAAGGCAAAGAGGCCGATAGAAAGAACAGAGGAAGAATGAATGAGCGCATTTTCATTAATTGGTGAAAAAGATATATGAAAGTCTGAAACGGGGAGAAAAAGGGAAGAATGGGAGTGCAAATATGTCACTTTAATTGAAGGAGAGTAGTGAAGAAAGGAAAGACTCGAGTGGGAAAGCCGGTAGGTTATATGCTTGAGCTCCGAGAAAGTGGACGACCGAGGCCTTGGTGTTGGCATTGAGTTGAAATGGCAAACGGATTGGATTTGTGAGAGAGCTAGTAATCTCGCCCTGCCCTTGGCACCGCGCTCCTAGAGGAGTTGTAGTGGCCATTCCATAATTAGTGTTAGAATGTCAAGCGTGTCGTCGTGACTTACTCTCGAGCCCATCACATTTCAGCGTTGACCGGATATCCGCGCGTATGATGTCAAGGACACGCCCCGGGACCCGAGAGTTTGCGAGGTTCCGTAGGGTGTCCAACTTCTCCCTCTGGCGGAAGTCACATTGTCACAAGCATAGGGGGGGCCGCTATCAGAACGTATGTTTTGGGTAATAGCGTGGTGTACGGTAGGTTACCGGTATTGGACGCTACTAGTAAGGAGTGGGATGGCTTGACCCTGCCAAGCACAGTCTAGCGTAAGCCTCCAGAAGGGCGACGATCTCTCACTGTATTGGTCACCGCTCCGCCTTGTGAATGGCAAAAGGTGTGTCAAGGACCTCTCGGCGTTGGGCCAGATGTCAATCCAAGATGTCCCAAGCCCTTGGCGCCGAGATCCGAAGCCCAATCGACGGCCCGCTTACTGAAAGAAGAAACAAAAACAAACGCTGGGGCGACGGAGGGAAAGTGTCCAAGACGACGGAAGTGACCCGCGAAAAACATGGCTGCCGGTGCCGGTATTCCCATACGGTATGGTGCTTGTACATGTAACTTTTGGACGGTGCTTTTGTCCAGACATTGGTGCCCCCACCGTGGCCTCAACCAGCAAACTGAGACCGCGCAAACCTTAACTCGGAGAAAAGATTCCTCCTGCCTTAGACACGCGCCGGGACATGTTTTTGGCCTGATCTGGTCAAGATATCTGGATTTTGGGCTGGTTTTCTTGATAAGCCGTCAGTTTTGCGGTCTAGAATGGTCTTACAGACAGAGCTTTACCCGATGAGGATGTTATTTTGTCATTTCTTCCTATTTGGTCGGTCATTGGCCGCGGGTGCTGTGCATTTGTCCATGACAAGCGTGGGCTTTTTTTGCTTTTCTTTTCTTGTTCCCAACTTTGCTCTGATCTTTGGCAGTAAAGCCACCTCGACTCAGGTTCTAATTTCAGCCACAGGAGCTTACCATATTTGGAGGGAAATGTGGCTTTTTTTTTGGCTCCGGGCGTCTCCTTCGGCCGCAGCGATATGGAGGCTGTACCGATTTTTTGCGATAGTTTCAGCACAAACCGGCGCAGTAATTTTTATTGCTATTTCGGTATCCTTCTATTGTCTCCAACTCAGCATAGCGGTAGGCCTATCAGAGCTCCGCGCAAAGGTCCGAGCCCGCTACCTCTATCCACCGAGACAGTCTCGCGAGCGAGCAAACACACCTGATGTTTGTCGAGCTAGCCTTGAGAATTCATTCTCCACTAACTTATCCTCTGATATTATCCTCGAATCCTCCCCAGGGCAAACTTTAAAGATCCCAGGAAAGAGGTTGAGTTAGTACCGTACTTGTAACAATGTTTGCTTCGCTATGCCTCGATCCCTGTATTTTCGGAGCAGAAGACTGTTTTGAGCAGATTCCCCTGCCCTACTGTACTCGAGTACTCGGGTACTAGTAACCCGGGTGCCGTAAGTGCGGGGGTCCGCTCGCCAAAGTCTAGACTGACCTGCTCCGGATGCCGAGAGTGCGCGACTACGGTACGATACGAATTTCCAATCGCTCTTTTTGCGGGCTTTTTTCCTTTTTCCTTTTTGTTTACCGAGATCTTGTCCATGGGCCCGATAACGCAACTTGGGATCCGGGCCGCGTGTCAGGGGACGGGCAAAGTGGTTGATAAAGTTGCACATACAGCCGTGTGTGCAGAACTGGTAGGGCTGAACCTTCCGGACATCATACCGGTATTTCTCTAGGAGACGGATAGAGTCCGCGTCTCCAACTGATTCCCGCCGTGTGAAATCATGGTGCTTAAGGTGCGCACTTGGCTTAGGCTCAGACTACCGTATGGAGCTTTCGGTTACTTCATTACTGTGTTTCGGAGATTTCAATCCAGAGCTGGGGGTGGTTCCGCGGAGCTTATGCACCTAGATACAGGTACTGGTATATGAATATCTATTTCCTCGTGCACCGCCCCTATCTGCCAAGATGTCGTGCTGATGGGGGGGTCAGCGCGGACACCCAACTAGAGGGAAACTTGGTACGAGTACCGTAGTCTACCGAGTGCTAGTGTTACCTACTCGAGTACGGTACCGTGGTGACGCCAGTGATGCCCCGGAGGATACCGTAAAGTTCTCGGTACCATACCGGTACTCAGCATGAGTACCGTACTGTACGAGTACACGTACGCACGAGTGCATCCCTATACAGAAGTTGTGCTCAAATAGGTACTCGAGTATCCCTAGCTAAGTTCATCGGCCTTGAGTCGATACGACCGCATAAATTATCCTCCGAGAGATAGTGCGAAACCTTTCTTTTTCCACTTACAAAATCCCATACAAAAAGTCCTGCGAAACATTTCGCCCATCCAAATGAGGTCTTTTCCAAACTCCGACCGTTTGGTGCCGGCAGCGGAAGTCACCAATTCCAGGGTGCTTTTACCGAGAGCGCAACGGTTCATGGATATTAAATTTGACCCGTGTCAGTGAAGTTAAATATTTGCGGTGGGGTTTGTCCCTGCACCTGCCGTTCCGGGGTGGTAGGTCCTGCCAAGCCCGAGTGTCTAATCCACTTCAAACAGCAGCATGGGGCCACCGAACCCCCACCATTTTGGCCCGCTAATTTTTGTTGTGAGGATACGGTGTCTCGGCTGAGATCTCGGGATATTGGCTCGCTTGTTGGCGCCTGCCAGATCACGAGTGAGGCTGGCTGACAAAGACACAGGTAATCATCAGACTCCAAAAGGAGCAGGTTGTTGCACCTGACCGAGCACAAGTCTCAGCGGAAGCAAGTTCCAAAGTTATATGAGACCGTCGCAGTGGCACGGGTAGCTGAATTGAAGATTTACCGCAAAAGGCATCCTCACTCATACAAGACAGAACTTCTTACCTGGCTACCTATACGTGTGGGGAACACGGTAGCTGTGCCACGATGCACCGCGTTGGTAATAATCGCCGGAAGCGGGAGTGCCCCGGTGCTACGTCTCCGCCGTGGTCATTCTGTCATTACTGTTTTTTCTCCCTCTCTGAGTGATAAAGTAGTTACTTGTGTCTAGGTCTTGGTTCGAAGATATTCATGTATTAGAGGAACTGGGTCCCACTTTCTGCGCTGGGTCCAATGCTTACGGTAGGCTCTTGAATGAGGTTCCCTGCTCAATTAACGTCCGGCAGCATCCATATTTGGGCGTATCTCAACGGGCGGAGCCATTTATCAAACCACCTTGGCTTGGCGATAATAATTTCGGCCGGAGATCGCGGCCACGGGAGTAGCCATGAAGGCGGATAACGAATTGGGACTGTCTGTCTTATGGAAGTCTCTGACCTCACGTGTTTGTCCCGCCAAGTTAGGACTGAGCACTTCTCTAGGGGCCGAACTTCCCGTAGCTAGAGGGGGTTTTGAAACTCTTTGCATGGCCGGTTGGGGCCAGGGGAAAAAAAATCATAATAATTATCATATTATTATGTCCAAGTTGGGGTCTCCGGCTGTCTGGGCTTAGGGCCTTGGAACCGCAGTTTCCGCTGCTGTCTCATTTGATACCGATGATTGGATGTAAATTTAGTTACTTACTGGAGTCCTTCGATTTCTCACAACCAATTTTAGAAGATCCTGAGATCTGGAACGGGAAGCTGGAATCTTGGTGGCATTGAGACAATATGCACTGTGCCGCGGTGACCTGGAGGACTCGGTACGATTCCAGATCTCTATTCGAGTCCCCGACCAGAACGTGGTCTGCACCATTGAGCGGTATCTACGTGGTCACGTATTACCTACGTGCATATATTTAAGCCCCTTCGCCAAAGGGCACCACCAGTAGCACCAATTCCGGCTTCCGGTGATTATAACATAGAACACGTCATCGCTGGGTAACTTACGCTCTGTATCATACAATGTCTGGATTCACCTTCTATCACTCGGGTTTCTTGCCCGACCTTGACGCCGTCTGACTGGGTCTCGCCATCTTATGTGTGATATGGCTATCGAGGGATCCGGGATATATACCGGCATATTATACTTTCAACCACTGTGGGTTATGAAATATGTGATGGCGCATTGACGTTTGCGTGACCCGCCAGCCCTCGTGAAGTCACGACCATTGACCTCGAAATTATTAGGCAATACAGTAATTGAGAGCGCACGGGGCTGGAACACAAGGAACCAAATCACAGGGATCAAGACGGCAGATACAAGTGGCGTGAGGGGAAGTAGTAAGTCCAGCTCCCTGACAAAGCTGGCTGGGGAAGACGTGGAACAAATTTTCCTATAACGGGGCGACGGATGAGATGATTAAGAGTTGTGTGAGAAACCGTGAATGGAAATCTCTATGAAGACTTTGTTGGAAATTGGCTTTGAGTGCGGAAGGATTCCTTGAATTGGGCGTGAGGTGCGGGGGGATTGTAAGAGTGAGATTCGTTGGGCTTACTGTGCCTGGAAGGAGGATGCTATCGCGGGGAAGCTTAGTGTAGAGTTGGTTAGTGTGTTCGCAAGCTGTGATGATATTTGCCAAAGTCCATCGCTATCCCCTTAGTTGACGGGATGGCACGATCTTTCAGCTCGGGTTCACAGATTCCCAAATATGTTTCCTTTGAGATATTTGCAACTGGAGGGGGGTTGGTGGGTCGCTATGCCACGCACGAAATTCTACCGCTAGTACTGTCTTTGGTAAATTGTAGTGAGTGGATGTTTTTGTAGACACTCTTGTCCTCCTTGGTCTACCTGACTTCTACCGTAGAAGCCTCCGATACTGCGATACTCAATTTCCTGTTTGGTGTCTTGGAAACGTGTGCCTAAGGGTAGTTACCGAGATCGCGGGCTGGTATTAGCATCACGGTCCTGGCGGGGGAGGTTTCCCATGTCCCCAGGCTCAGTTCATCCGGGGGCTATGGTTTATCCTCGAGACTAATAGCGTCTCTCGGGGAGAATAAGGCCGGAGGATGGGGGAGGGGGACGCGGAAGACTACAGACCTATTTTAGACTTAGAATAGGAGGCTCTCATCCACTTTTATCCTCCTCTCCTCACGCCACTCCAGGAAATGTT